CTGCTCTGAGTAGTGTTAACTGTTAGAAATTCACAGCCAAGAGGTAGTGCTTAAAATTCCATGTGTTTGGCAGTCACTGGGGAGGCTAAGGCAGGAGCATCACAGGTTCGAGGCCAGCCTAGGCAACCTGATAAGTCTCTGTTTCAAAATAAAAAATATAAAGGAATGGGAATGGAGCTCCAAGGTAGAGTGCTTACCTAGCATGTGCCAGTCCCTGGGTTCAATCCCTAGGATAACAGAAGTTCCTCAAGAATACCAGAAAAAAGAAAGAAAGAAAAAGAAATTAGTTAAATGGGAAATAATGAAGAATAGAAGGGATCAGTGAAGGCAAGAATAGGCTCTTTGATAAAACTAATACAATGTATGAAAATCTTTGGCAAGATTGTTCTAGAAACAAAAAGAAACATCATTAAAAATATATCTGGGATCAAAAAGGGAGCACGTGCTGGGCACGGTGATGCACACCTGTAATCCCAGCAGCTTGGATACACACCTGCAGCTCTGGAGGCTGAGGTAGGAGGATCACCTGTTCCAGGCTCAGTAACTTAGCAAGATCCTGTCTCAAAATTAAAAATAAATAAATAAATAAAATGGGCTGGGGATGTGGCTCCGTGGTTAAGCACCCCTGGGTTCAATCCCCGGTACAAAAGAAGGAGCAAGCACCACTACTGATTCAGAGGGTTTTTTTTAAGACAGAGAAAAACCATCATAAACAACTTTAAGCCCATAGACAGACCAGAAAATTTTCTAGAAAACCATAACTTGCCAAAACTAATAACAGAAAGAGACAGAGAGAGGGGGGGCGCGGGGGAAACCTTAATAGAATTATAACCATTGAAGACATGGACTCAAAATCTACCCACTACAAAACAGAATGCCACCTTCTATAAAACCTTCCATGGAATGGAAAGAAGATTCTTCAACTTCTTCTGAGACGAGGGGGGGAAATGGGCAGAATGTGGGTAACACCTAAGAGTGGGGAAGAAGAACATCTAAGCTTCAGAAACCTGTCAAGAAAAGGGACCAAAGAGTTATCTGGGGTGAAGAAAACAGCATCTTCACCACATTTGGGGTCCTTTGGATGTGTAGTTACCATCTAAACACTTTGTTTGCTAAAGGACCCCTTGGTGACAGTTCACAGATGAGGTTTACGTAGTAAGCAGAGTCCACACAAAGAGATGCGATCCAGATCAGTACCTCCCTCAAGCGTTCTATGGATTGTCTTATTCTGTTGTTGCTATTGTAACAAAATACCTCGGACTGGTGTTTTTGACCATTTTCTGTTGCTATCACAAAATACGTGAGACCAAGTAATTTAGATAGAACAGAAGTTTGGCTCACTGACGTGGAGGCTGGGACGTCCAAGTGCCTAATGCTGTCATCCACTCAGTGTCCGGTGAGGGCCTCTTTTGCTCCAGCATAACACGGCAGAGGGCACCACGTGGCAAGGCAGAGCGAGGGCATTAACTTGGGTCTCTCCTCCTGTTCTTAAAAAACCACTAATGTCATCATGGGGGCCCACTATGAGGACCTTATATAATTCTCCTTACCTCTCAAAGGCCCCACCTCCAAGTACCAGTGACATATGAGAATTAAATGAATTGCAATGGTTTGAATGTTTGCTCCCCAGCACATGAATTTGGGAGAACAAACATTTAAAGCCTAGTAAGTAGGTGATTTATAAGAACAGAAGTTTATTTCTCACAGTTCTGGAGGCTGGGAAGCCCAGACCAAGGCACCAGCAGGTTCAGCACCCAGGGAGGGCTCACTCTGCTCCACCAATGTCACCTTGTGGCCATGTCCTCACGTGGCCCAAAGCAGAAGAACAAAAAGCAACTAACAGATTGCTTCGAGCCCCTTTTATCTCAGATTTATCTCCTAAAGTCTCCCCACTTATTATTATTGCATTGAGGATTAGGTTTTAATATGAATTTTGGAAGATGTCAAAGCCATAGCCAATATCTGAGGAGATTTTCTATCAAGATAGAAATGTTGGGGCTGGGGCTGGGGCTCAGTGGTAGAGCGCTTGCCTAGCACATGTGAGGCACTGGGTTAGATCCTCAGTACCACATAAAAATAAATAAATAGATACATGTATTGTGTCCATCTACAATAAAAAACAATTATTTTTTTTAATTGAAATTCTGAGGGCTAGTGATGTGGCTCAGAACTAGAACTTGCCTAGTGTGCTCAAGGCCCTGGGTTCCGTTTTCCCCAGCAATATGCACACACACACACACACACACACAAATTGGATCAGAACCATTTGGAAAACCACATGGAAAAGAATGAAATTGGATGCTTTTCCATACACAAAAATGAACTCCAAATGGACCATAGATCTAAAACTGCAAAACGGTTAGTAGAGAACTTCAGAGTAAATCTCCGTAGCCTTAGGTTAGACCGAACCTTCTTAGATATGACATAAGAACTACAAGCAAAAAGAGAAAATAGATGCATTGGACTTCATCAAAATGAAATATGTTTGTGCTTCAAAAGGACACCATCTAAAAAAATGAGAATGCCACTCAGAATAGAAGAAAATATTTGCAAATCGTATATCTGATAAGGTTCTAGAATCCAAAACATAAAAAGAACTATGAGAGCTCAACAATAAAAAGACAACTCATTTCAAAAATGCACTTCAGGAGACATTTCTTCAAAGAAAATAAACAAAAAGTTCACAAGCACATGGAAAACCATGTGCCACTAACTATTAGAAAATTCAAATCAAAACCACAAGGAGATACCACTTTATACCTACTCGGATGGCTGTAATAAAAATGACAAATAAGGGTAGGAAAGGAGGTGGAGAAATTGGAATCCTCACATGCTGCTGTTAGGAATGTATGGAAAATAGTTTCTAAAACCGTAAAAACCCAGGGTTTCCACAGGACCCAGCAATTCCACTCAAGGTACAAGCTCAAGAGCAATGAAACATGTTCGTTCAGCTGGGCACGGGGGCACCTGCCTTAATCCCAGCAGCTTGGGAATCTGAGGCAGGAGGATCTTGAGTTCAAAGCCAGCCTCCGCAACTTAGCAAGGCCCCAAGCAATTTAATTGTTGCTAAACCCTGTCTCTAATTAAAATATTAAAAAAGGGTGGGGATGTGGCTCTGTGGTTAAGCACCCCTGGGTTCAATCCCTGGTACTAAAAAAAGGAAGAAAAAAAAAAGAAAGAAAACGTAGGTTCACGAAAAAACTTGAACATCAATGTTCATAGCAGCATGATTCATTATGCATAATAGCCAAAGAGTGGAAAAAACCCAAAGCCCATCAACTGATGTGTGAATGAACAAAACGTGGTCCATTGGAACAGTCAGTCAACTGTGAAAAGCAATGAAGTACTGACAGAGCGACTGCACGGATGAAGCTTGAATGTTAAATGAAATAGCCAGAAAGGTCACATGTCATATGATTCCATTTAGATGAAATGTCCAAACTAGGAGAACCCATGGACGTGTTGGGGGGAAATGAGAACTGAATTCCAACAGGAACAGGGGAATCCTTTCAGAAGTGATGAAAATGTTCTAAAATTGATTGTGGCCATGGGTGGACAGCTCCAGGAACAGGCTAAAAACAATGCATTGAGTCGGGGACTTTAAACGGGTGAATATACGGTTTGTGAATCATATCTCAGTACAGTTGTTTTAAAGGACAGGTGGATGGCGTCAGCAAGGGACAAAGTGTGCCCTTGTTGAAACTTGTGTCTCTGAGGGTGACTGTGCTTAATGCACATTTCAAGCACGAGGTTGACCTGGCAGGACAGCCGTCACCAGAAGCCAAGTCCACTTGTAATCCTGGATGTCAATGGGGCTCTTCAGTGGGCAGCATCCACACCATCATAGACACCAGCCACTGGACACCTGCTAAATGCACGTCTCGTCATGCGTTGGAAGGATTCCTGGGGATCCCAACATTCTCCCTTTGATTTGATAGTGAGGAGACCCAGGCTCAGCAAGGGCTTAAAGTGTCTTGCCAAGAGTCCCACAGCAAGTTGCCCGTGAAGCTGGACTAGAGCCTGTTTAGAGCCTCGCTTTCGTTTCCTATAGATTTTTGCAGGGTTTTCATGTCCGTTCCCGCGGCCCTCCTCAGATGTCGGAAATGAAACTCCTCCCAGCCCTGGTGTCTGAGCCAGGCCACAGGCCGGAGCTGGAGGGGCTCAGGAAGCCGCAATCTCTGGGAGAATAAGGGGAGAGGATGGGGCCAGTTCCGAGAAGGCAGTGTGAGCCCCTGTTCCCGTCAGAGCGGGGATGCAGGGGGGACAGAGACTCAAGGGATGAACCCTAAGACGTGACCCATGACACACGGTGTCACACGTGGTCTGAGGCTTGTGGCTATTTTTTCCTGTCACATACACAATTGGAAGTACTGAGAACTGACCCCCCCACACTCACCCCTTTGTCCCACCTCAGAATCAGTGTGCTTTGGCCCCCCAGAAGGTGACCTGTGAGTCACTTGCCCCATGGAAACCTCCCCCTCCCTGACCTCAGGCAGGGCACAGAGTGGAGGAGAACAGGCCCCAGCCTTCCCCCTGGGATCTCTCAGCAGTGCCTGCTGGGCCCAGGACAGGGCTGGCATGAAGGGGTGGGCAGGAAGTGGACACCAGCTCTGGACGTCTTTTCTCCTCACTGCTCCAGGAAGAGGGGACAGTCACATATACGGACACCTTCTGAGGGCCAGGCACAGTTCTAAGCACTTGACACGGATTGACTCGCCTCTTCTTCGCGAAGGCCCGAGGCCAGCCGGCCCGAGGCACATCTGTCACGTGCAGGTCAGAAGGGGCAGGGCTCTCTTAGAGTTGAGCACAAAGCCCTGTGGTACCTCCCTGGGTCCCACAGCCCAGGCTTTTGTGGCAGATGAGCCTCTGGCCTCTCAGCCTGCTTCCTGCGGGCTGTCAGCAGGGCCGGATGAGGAGGTGATGACAGGGTGGGTGCTGGGGGACCTGTGGCCACAGCTGGAGGTGGGACAGGAAGCTGAAGTGATGTGACGTGGCTGGGGCAAGCCTGCCTGGGGGGCTGACGCCACTATTTCAGGAGACTCCGGCGGGGAGCACGGCGGCCCCGCGGCAGTTTCTCGCAGGACTCCAGGTAGGGCGGAGGCGGGGGTAAGGGCCGGGGTCCTGGGTGGGAGGGTTGGCTGCTGCTCTCAGGGAAGCCTGGGGAGCAGGAAGTGCCCTAACCCGTGAGATACGAGCTCTGGGCCTCAGAGGGCCCGGCCTCCCCTCACTGCCTCCCTGGGCAGCCTTGGACCCACTCTGGCCTCAGTTTCCTCATTATGGAGTCGCACTCATGGTCTCCAAGAGCCCCTCAAGCAACAACTAGAGCTTCTGAAAAAAAATGGCCAAGAGGACAAGTGCCCGGGTGGGGACCGAGATCCGGGTTAGGGTCACGGCAGAAGCCTGCTGGTCCCCTGAGTGGGGTGCCTGGGGGGACTTGGGAAGCTTCCCTCCCCTCTGCACCCTCTGGGCCCTGCATGGTCCTGGAATTCCACCTTCAAGTCACCTCTTTGGGTTGGGCATGGAAGGCTCCATGTCAGGGACATTCCTGTCCTCCATGACCCCCTTTTCTCAGAAACTGATGTCCCTGCAGGCACCAGAGGGAAAAGGCCCCAAGGAGCTCAGGTCACAGGGGGATAGAGAGGAGATTCCAGCCAGGTGCGGTGACACACGCCTGTCATCCCAGCAGCTCAGGAGGCTGAGGCAGGAGGATCGTGTGTTCAAAGCCAGCCTCCCCAACTTAGCGAGGCCCTAAGCAACTCAGAGAGGCCCTGTCACTATATAAAATATAAAAAAGGGCTGGGGATGTGGCTCAGTGGTTAAGTGCCCTGGGTTCAATCCCCAGTACAGGGGGAGAGAGAGAGAGAGAGAGAGAGAGAGAGAGAGAGAGAGAGAGAGAGGAGATTCACAAAAATACAGGCAAACGCAGGCAACAGGTAGGTCGCTGCAAGATGCCCAGGAGCTTGGTGGGGAACGCCGGAGGGGAGACCCGGCACCAGGAAGGGTGTGCATAGCAAACCCAAGGCCCCTCCCCCATCAGAGCCAAGGGCATGGGCACACGCAGCTCCCATCCATTCCCCCGTCAACCCCCCCCCCCCCCCCCCAGCACCGCCCCCCTCCCTCCGAGGGAGACCCCGAAGGGAAAATGGGGAGCACAAGGGCATGCATGGCCTCATTTCTTTCCCGGTTCTGTTAAGGACTCGGTGGGAGAGACAGGAATGAGAGTTGGAGACGCAGAGTGAGAATCGGGTGGAAGAGGGCCAGCGGTTCCAGAGCCCAAAAGGAATCTCCTCCGGAATCCAGACTTGGCAGGTCCTCAGGCTTCCAGCTACTGTTCCCTCTTCTGAGACCAGAGCCCCGTCCTCACCAGCAGCAGTTGTGTCCTGGGGACAAAGACATCCATCCAGATTCCCGTTAGGGAGGCCTTAGTAAGTTCCTAGCAAAGGAGCCCTGCTGGATGCCGGGCTAGGCAGACACACTCCCTGGGCCTGTCTGCACCGAGCCGTAGAACTGACACAGCTCCGGCATTCAGTCATTTAGGAGAATCCCTGCCCTTCCAGTAATCCCCAGTGGTGGGCAGAGAACACAGCCACCCTCCCTCCCTCTGCCCGGGGTCCCAGAGCTCAAAGCTCCCTGTTCCCACAGCTCCATGGGCACCCAACTTCTCTTCCGAGGCATTCTCCTCCTGTTGCTGCCCCGACCTGCCCCAGCCTCCTGCTACACAGCTGCGCGATCAGAGTGCAAGCAAAACCATGACCCCGTGCCTGGCGCGTTGCTGGCTGGGGAAGGTGTGGACGTGACCAGCCTCCGCCGCTCCGGCTCCTTCCCCGTGGACACACACAGGTTCCTGCGGCCCGATGGCACCTGCACCCTCTGTAAAAACCCCCTGCAGAAGGGCGCCCTGCAGCGTCTGCCCCTGGCGCTCACCCACTGGCGTGGGCAGGGCTCCAGCTGCAGGCGCCAAGTAGCCAAGGCCAAAATCAGCTCCACCGAGGAGGTGGCCCGGGAGGCGGCCTCCAGCATCAACAATGACTGGCGGGTGGGGCTGGACGTGACTCCCCCCGAGCCCAGCAGCAAGGTGCACATGTCTGTGGCTGGCTCGCACTCCAAGGCAGCGGACTTCGCAGCCCAAAAGACCCACCAGGACCAGTACAGCTTCAGCACAGACACGGTGGAGTGTCGCCTCTACAGGTGAGGGCCGGGGGTGGTGCAGGTGATGTGGACGACGACGGGGAAACCCTGAGTTCCATCTAGGAGCTCTGGAATTGCAGGATGGGGACTCGGAGGCTGCTCCCACCAGGAGGAAACCAGAGACCTGGTTCTCAGGCTTCAGGTGACAGTCCCTGGGACTCTTCCCATCCAGGAGGGCCCAAATCTAGGAGGGCCACTGAGAGCCCAGGCAGAGGGAAAGTGAGCAAGACTGTGCCTGATGCCCTAACGTGGTACCAGGGAGGTGTGCTGAGAGCCCACCCACCTCCTTCCTGGGCACTGTCAGCCTCCCATGGGGTCCTACCTGGATAGGGACAGAGACCAGAGACCTGGCTGGGTCCTCCCTCCCTATTGCTGTGTGATCTTGGGCATCTGATCTGGGCCTCATTTATCCACTTAACCAATATTCACACCTGGCTCATGTGTCAGGGTGACCCTACTAAGCAACAGCTGTCAATACTCCAGCCCCCATAGAACAGGGAGCCTGGGACACAAGTCCCACACCAAGCAATGGCCACCCGAGTCACTCCTCTGATTTCCCGGGCCATGAGTCCTCCACAGGGAGGCAGGGCACCTCCTGCCTGCATGGCCAGAGCAGTTGGGAGCCCAGGCACATGAGCCTGAGCCAGAGGAACGGATGAGTGAAGGTTCAAAAGCAAGATGGGAGCCGGGCGCGGTGGTGCACACCTGTGATCCCAGCAGCTTGGGAGGCTGAGGCAGGAGGACTGTGAGTTCAAAGCCAGCCTCAGCAACAGCGCAGTGCTAAGCAACTTAGTGAGACCCTGTCTCTAAATAAAATACATATTAGGGCTGGGGAGGTGACTCAGTGGTCGAGTGGCCCTGAGTTTAATCCCCGGTACCAAAAACAACAATAAAAAAGCGAGGTAGATACCATCCATGCTTTTATAACCAGAAAATACAATGCTTCATTTAATGAGGCAAGACCTATGTCACGTAGCTCATCACCAAGGAGCGATAGTGCCCAAGCTTTGGCATCGGAGCCAAGGGCACTGGGTTCAAGTCTTGGTTGTTCCCACTCACACTTGAACTTGGGAAGTCTTGAAGGAGTTATTGAGTGGGGAAAACACTACCCACCCTCGCGCTCACCTGATGTTTCTCTCTCCCCACAGTTTCCATGTGGTGCACAAACCCCCACTGCACCCTGATTTCAAGAGGGCACTTGGGGACCTGCCCCCCCACCTCAACACCTCCACCGAGCCTGACTACCTCAGGCTCATCCACAACTACGGCACCCACTTCATCCGGTCCGTGGAGCTGGGTGGCCGCGTCTCAGCCCTCACGGCCCTGCGCACCTGTGCACTGGCCTTGGATGGGCTCACGGCCGACGAGGTGGGGGACTGCCTGGCTGTGGAGGCCCAGGTGAGCATCGGTGGCCATGCCGAGTCCTCATCCGAGTTCAAGGCCTGCGAGGAGAAGAAGCAGCGGCACAAGATGATAACCTCCTTCCACCAGACCTACCACGAGCGCCACTCCGAGGTCGTCGGCGGCCGCCACGCCTCCTTGCGAGACCTGCTATTCGGGAACCAGGCTGGGCCCGAGCAGTACTCAGCCTGGGTGGCTTCGCTGATCAGCAGCCCCGGCCTGGTGGACTACAGCCTGGAGCCCCTGCACTTCCTGGTGGACGGCCAGGACCCGCGGCGGGAGGCACTGAGGCAGGCCGTGAGCAAGTACCTGATGGGCAAGGCACGCTGGAGGGACTGCAGCCGGCCCTGCTCGCCTGGGCAACAGAAAAGTCCCCATGACCCGTGCCAGTGCGTGTGCCACGGCTCAGCAGTCACCAACCAAGACTGCTGTCCACGCCAGAGGGGCCTGGCACGGCTGGAGGTGACCATCGTCCAAGCGTGGAATCTGTGGGGAGACTATGGTAGTGCTACAGACGCCTATGTGAAGGTCTTCTTTGGTGGCCAGGAGCTGAGGACCGGCACTATATGGAACAATAACAACCCCAGATGGATGACTCGGCTGGACTTTGGGGATGTGCTTCTGACCACAGGGGGTCCCCTGAGGGTGCAGGTTTGGGATGCAGACAACGGCTGGGATGATGACCTCCTTGGCTCCTGTGACCGGTCTCTAAAGTCTGGCTCCCACGAGGGGCAGTGCCACATGAATCACGGTCACCTGCAATTCCTTTACCAAGCCAGGTGCTTGCCCCACCTGGCTGGGGGAACCTGCCTGGATTATGCCCCCCAGGGGCTTCTGGGAGAGCCTCCAGGGAACCGCAGCGGGGCCGTGTGGTGAGGGCTCAGGCTTTATCATTGAGGTGGCTGAGTTTACAGGTCAACCCTGAGGCCCCTGGCCCAAATGTCCCAGCCCTCCGACATTCCAAGCCTGGCAGTCACTGCTGCACAGACTATAGCTCCGGCAGGGGTCAGCAGACTGTCCCACGGGCTGCTTAGAGCTCATCTTTCAAAACCCTCCTTGCAGCCATTTATTTTTTACTTTTTGGTACTGGTGATTGAACTCAGGGGCACTTTGCTGCTGAGCTGCATCCCGAGTCCTTTTTTATTTTGAGACAGGGTCTTGCAAACTTGCTCAGGGTCTTGCTAAGTTGCCAAGGCTAGCCTCAAACTTGTGATCCTCCTGCCTCAGCCTCCCAAGTCACTGGGATTACAAGCGTGCTCTTTGTCTCCCTGCTTTATCTCTAAGACAAAGCAAGGACAGCCACGACCTAGCTCACTGCACACGTGAGGCCAATAGATAGGATATATATGACGGTGACCGTGGTGGTGGTATTGTGGCAGAGGAGACAATGGGGACAAAACCACCTCTAGAGCCAAAATTCTACATCAGCAACCCATACGGAATGGGCAGGCAGGTCATGTAAACTGCTTTTCTGCTTTTGCTGGAAATGTGGAGACTCGAAATATTTTACTTTCCTTGTAACCCTCTGGCTTGAGGAAAAAGCAGCATGAACTTAGTGATAAGTGGCCACAGACATTCAGTTCCCAACTGGAAGAAAACAGGGACGGGTGAGGACAGTGGTGAATTAGCAAGTGTGGGTCTTATTTATTAGTGGGGTGGGGGCGGGGCCGTGCTGCAGCTCTCCTCCAGCCAAACCTTCCAGGTGGAAATGTGAGCCCAAAACTTCCAGGTCTTCTCATTTTTTAAAGCAATCGTAAACTCCAATTTGATTGCTAACTGTGGCAATTCATCTCACTTTGTACGCTTTGTAAAAATAAACCTCTGTGGGCAAATGTGGTACAGGTCAAAGAGACCATATTTTCAGGCCATCACTGAGCCGGGGATGTTCATTCAGAAAACTCTGCTTCCCACAGAGCCCGTTCGCGTAGGCTGAAAAATCTCACAACGCAGGCGGGCAGTGCAGTCACTCCAACAGGGTGGTCTCTGAGGGCTTCCGGGCCTTGGTGTGCAGTAAACCTGATTTCAGGGTCTGATGTTAAACGAAGTAGTCCTTTTGGGGGTATAGGCCTCGGTACACAGGCCCATGGAGTTGGGGGGCAAGATTCAGGGCAGCTCTGTAACTATGGTAGGACGTGGCAGAACAGGGTCAGGGGGACTCAGGAACGGCCACAGCTCCCCACGCTATTTGATACTCCTGACAAATCACCCCCTGAGGTTTGTGGAGCACCCATAAGCTCAAAAGCCAAGTAGTGACCCCAAACCCCCAGGTTGGGCAGGAGGAAGGAGCAAGGCTTAGAAGCCTGGTAGAAACCACTGTCCTTCCACGTTTCCATTCACAGCCACACACACAAACAAGAACACAGGAGGGACCGCGAAGTGTCACTCAGGCTGTGACTGAAACAGAAGTGTCGACCCCACCCCTTGGGGAAGGTAGAGCCGCAAATCGGGGTGGGGCCTGCTGGGCCAGCCCGGCTCCCTGGGCCTCAGGGTCTCCACGAGGACCCTCTTCCCTTCCCTCCTCTCAGGCCTGCTCTGCAGGGGCTGGGCCTCCCCAGGGCTGGGGAAGGGGTCCTGAGCGGTGGACTGGCTGGCCCTTCAGTCTCCCAGGTCAGGAATCCACAGCCCAGAAGCAAGAAGGGGTTGCCTGGTGGTCAAGGCGGAAGTTAGTAGCAGAAAGAACCAGGTGCCTTTGAGTCCTGGGCACGTCCCTCTAAGCACAGCTTCAGAAAGGACAATGGGGCCGGGAAGGAGGGTGGTTAGGGAAAGGGGCCGAGGAGGCCAAGGAGCTGCTGTCGTGGGGGCACAGCTACGATGGAGCCCTCAGCCCCAACTCAAGACCAGCAGGACATTTCCAGCTCCGTCCCACAAGGGTGTGGGGCTGCTTGGTCACACCTGGAGCCCGGGTTCGTTTGAAAAGTCAGATTTACCTTCCATTCGGCCCCCCGTGAATTCACTTGGTGAAAATAAACCTATGCAGAAAACACGGGACAAGCCAAAGAGAACTGGGCTGCGGGTCCCCACCCTGCAGCGACCCAAGGGGCAGGCCTGTCTGAGCCCCCTCCCTGGGCAGGAGACACAGGGGAGGGGAGAGATCAGGGTCTCTGTTTCCCTGTGTCCTCTGCAGGTGGACTTGGGCCTCCTACTGGAGTCTGGGAGGCCGCTGTGTCTTTCCTGATTCTAGGAACTTGCCCTCAGAATGCCCTGTCACACCAGGGGTGACCGAAGCTCTGCAGCTGCAAACCCCGAGTGGCTGCACCACTACCTCTCTGCTCCCACTGTCCCCGACTCCTGTCACTGCTATCTCTGTAACTAAACCCTGTGCAAATTACTGTAGTGGAGTCTGCCACTGGTCGCCCACAGGCACCCTGAGTGACAGTCCACTCCATGAGCCCACCTCCCACAGAGGCTGACAAGGCCCAAGTCTTGCCCCCCTGCACCCGAGCTCCACTGTAAGTGGGGAGTGACCCAGGGCTGGGCCACCAGTCTGAGGCTCTGCTGCAGGTGTGGGATGTGCTCAGAAGCAGGTGCTGAAACCCAGGATTCTGTGCAGAGACACAGTGAGGGACAGCGGAAGTGTACCAGGAGGGTGGCGGATCAAAGGCACGTTATCCCGCCACTCAGCAAGGGGGGCCACTGGAGCGGGCCTGGGGAATTCCAGGCGCTGATGGAGAACACGTACCCCAGAGTGCCCCACGAGGGCGGGGAGCTGGGGTACTGACACACCCCTTGCCCTCAGTCCTTGGTGAGGGGGTTCTGGGGGAGGCATTCATTCCCACAGACTCCCAGTCCACCAAAGGAGCAGTAGAGCAGGGTCCAGCAGCCAGAGAAAGCCCTCAGCCCCGCTGAGGGTGTGAGTCAGGGAGATGTGCTGGTCTTGCTAACGGCCATGAAGGCAGGCTGACGCGGAGCCCCCGGAATCCAGAGCTGGAGTGTGGCAGGAGGAGTTCCTGGGCCAGGGGCTTCGGGGCCGCTGGTGACAACGCTCAGAGCTCCTCAGCAGTGTCCCCACCAGAGCAGCCCTGAGGCAGGATTTGGTGACACTGTTCCTGGAGGCTCGGGCTGTGCAGGCACCCTGGTGACGGAGTGCTCAGTCCGTATTCTTGGTGACTGACTATTTGTCATTTAAACTTGACTTTTCTATTATTTATTGACTTACTTCATTTAAACTTGACTTCTATTGCCAGCAACTAAATTCCTTGCTGCTTCAACACCCCCATCCCTTTACACTGGTCCTCCTGCCACCATGGTGGGCCCATGTCCTTAGAACTAGCACTTACCTGTCCCCAAGCACCTTCCTCCCCAGGGCATGAGCACAGAAGGGAGGGAACCATTGCCAGGTCCCATCATTCAACAGATGGCCACTGAGAGCCTCCGATGAGCCAGTTCCTAGGTCCCCAGTGACCAGCACACCATGCAGAGCATGCGCCCTTGAGCCCCACGTCTGATGGGGGAATGGATGAGGACATGCAGGAAGATACTAGAGTCAAGGTGACATCCTGGGAGGGAGCTCGGGCTGAGTCGCTTTCCTCTTTTCAATCTCACACACGCACTCGCACACAGGTCAGCGACGTCTCCTAGACTTGGGGCTGGCATTAGATGACCGCTCAGTGCTTGTTTTTTATTTTTTTACACATATAGAGCACGATTTTTCATATCTCTGGTTGTGTACAAAGTATATTCTCACCAACTAGTGTCTTCATAGATGTACTTTGGATAATAATGTCCCTCACATTCCACCATCATTTCTAATCCCATGCCCCCTCCCTTCCCCTCCAAACCCTCTGCCCTATCTAGAGTTCATCTATGCCTCCCATGCTCCCTCTCCCTACTCTAGTATGAATCAGCCTTCTCATATCAGAGAAAACATTCGGCATTTGGTTGTTTGGGATTGGTTAACTTCACTTAGCATTATCTCCTCCAACTCCATCTATGCCACACTTTTCTTTATCCATTCATCTTTTGAAGGGCATCTAGGTTGGCTCCACAGTTTAGCTGTTGTGAATTGTGCTGCTATAAACATTGATGTGGCTGTGTCCCTGGAGTATGCTGTTTTTAAGTCTTTTGGGTATAGACCTAGGAGAGGGATAGCTGGGTCAAATGGTGGTTCCATTCCCAATTTTCCAAGAAATCTCCATACTGCTTTCTGTATTGGCTGCACCAATTTGCAGTCCCACCAGTAATGTATGAGTGTGCCTTTTCCCCACATCCTCGCCAACACTTATTGTTGTTTGTCTTCATAATAGCTGCCATTCTGACTGGAGTGAGATGAAATCTTAGAGTAGTTTTGATTTGCATTTCTCTAATTGCTAGAGATGATGAGCATTTTTTCATATATTTGTTGATTGATTGTATGTCCTCATCTGAGAAGTGTCTGTTCAGGTCCTTGACCATTTATTGATTGGTTATTTGGGTTTGTTTTTTGAGTTCTTTATATACCCTAGAGATTAGTGCTCTATCTGATGTGTGAGGGGTAAAGATTTGCTCCCAAAATGTAGGCTCTCTATTTGCCTCACAGATTGTTTCTTTTGCTGAGAAGAAAAATTTTTTTCTTTTTAATTTGAATTTTTAAAAAATTCTTTTTAATTTGAATCCATCCCATTTATTGATTCTTGATTTTAATTCTTGTGCCACAGGAGTGTTATTAAGGAAATTGAGGCCTAATCCCACATGATGGAGATTAGGGCCTACTTTTTCTTCTATTAGGCACAGTGTCTCTGGTTTAATTCCTAGGTCCTTCATGCACTTTGAGTTGAGTTTTGTGCATGGTGAGAGATAGGGGTTTAATTTCATTTTGTTTCATATGAATTTCCAGTTTTCCCAGCACCATTTGTTGAAGAGGCTATCTTTTCTCCAGTGCATGTTCTCGGCACCTTTGTCTAATATAAGATAATTGTGGTTCAGCATTTGCTTTTTAAATGGTTGCAGGGTACCTTTTTCTCCCTCACACACCTTCATGGTCTCTGGGGGCTGTGTCAGTGTCTGACGAGCAGTTGACAAGCTGGGACAGTGAGCCCGCGCCCCTGACAGGTGGACAGAGCCAGTCTAGGTTGGGGGAACCTGGGGATGGAGGGGCTCCTGCAGCTCTGAAAGGCAGGGGCTTCTCTTGCCTTCCTATTACTCTGTCTGTAGTGTTCTTCA